GCATGGGGACGCGGACGGTGGCGCGGGTGTCGGTGGGGGTGGGGAGGGGCGGGCGCGGAGGGGGTGGGGGTGGGCGACATTTTGCGCGGGCAGACGCGCGGGGCGCGGCAACGGAAGGAAGGCGCCAACTTTGTTCACAGCCGGCCCGATCGGTGCGAATCCGGATCCACGTGTGCGCGTGGACACGAGAACACGTGGGATACACACGTGGCACATCTCGATGGGGAGTGCGGCGCCGATTGGCCAGTGTGCGTCGTTGTGCCACGGGGGGCGACGCGTGAGCCATTGGGTGGCCTGCACGGTTGGAGAGAACCGCCCGACCACAAAGATCCGCCGCGCCGTTCCGCCGCCGCCCTCCATTTTACCGAATACTAAACTGTACCATGTAATACGCCGGAGAGGTACTGTAGCCTACCTTCATCGTCCCCGCCAAACAATCCTTCAACTCTTGCAACCCCGCCCCCCATCCCTGTCAAACCCCTAGCCCACCTTCCCTTCATGTCGGCATTCCTTCCGCCGCCGCCGGCCCTTCTCCTCCGCGGCCCCTCCCTGTCGCCCCGCCGCCGCCGCCGCCGCCGCCCGTGCCGTCACGCCGCGCCGCGTCTCGCGCTGTCCGAGCCCTTCCGTCGCCCGCGCGACCTGCGGGACCTCGGCGACCTTCCCGACGCGCCCACGCTTCCGCCGTCCTCCCCGCCTCGCGACGCCGAGTACCACGGCTGGTCGCACGACTTTGTGGAGCTATGCCGGTCGCAGCTCTCCCTCCTGGCGTCGACGGTGCCCTCCCTGTCGCAAGTCCTTCTGTTCTTCCGCAACGAGAACCCATCCACGGGCGCGCTGGAGTTCCTGCCGCTCGTGGTCCACACAGCGGGCGCGGTCGACACGTCGCGCGTGTGGATAGCGTCTGCCGACGCGGCGGAGACCGAGCTCGGGCCGCCGCATCCGTCGCGGTCGCTGCCCGGCGGCATCCCCGCCCAGTGGCTGATGCCGGACTACCCGTTCAAGTCCGCGGGCGAGGGAATCCTCATGCCAGACGGGGGGTTGTGCGTCCCCGTCGAGTACAACGGCGTCCTGGCCGGCGGCGTCGTGCTTTGCCCGCTTGAAGGAGCCGAACACCAGTGGACCGAGGCCGATTTTGAAAGGGCCGATATCGTCGCGAAGAGCATCGCATTGGGCGCTGCGTTGGAGGGAAAATGGCATCAGAATGCGTGGATGCTGCATTCGGGGAGGAGCTTGATAGACTCCATGAGGGGGCTACTCGCCACCACGCTGCACCAGGTCCGGTCCCCGGTGTCGGCCTTGGTCACGTTTGGCCATCTGTTGTTGCGCAAGCTGCCTCCAGGGGATCCGAACAGGACCCTGGCGAAGAATGTCATCCTCGAGGCCCTCAGGGTCAACGAACTGCTGCAGCCGCTCGATGAGGCGGGCGATGCCCACGTCCTCCCAGAGGCGAACGGCGTGCCGTGGTATCAGAAGGAGGAGGACGAGCAGCCGGAGGAGAGCGTCGTAGGTGTTGTCCCGAAGCATACCGGGTATGGCTGGGCGGAAGAGGACGGTATGCAGTTGATTTGGCTGTCAGACGTGCTTGTGGCACAGGCGGAGAGGTCCGAGTTCCTTGCGGGTGAGTGCGGCATGCATTTTGTGGCGGAGATTGATGATGATTCTCCGCCGATCCTCGCGGTGGAGAAGCACGTGCGAGAAACCGTCAGCAGTTTGATTGATAACGCGATCAAGTACTCGCCCAGAGGGGCCACGATTGGCATTCAGTCGGTGTGGAGGGAGGAGGAAGAGGAGGAGGAAGAGGAGAATGAGATGGTAGACGTGGTGGTGTGGGATACAGGGTATGGGTTTTCGGAGGACGAGATTGAAGAGGTGTGGGACTTTGGGTTTCGGGGGTCGGCGGCGGTAAGGTCTGGGGCGCCGGGGTCGGGGATCGGGTTGTCGGCCGTGCAGCGAATGCTGCAGTCGTCGGGGGCGGAGATATCGCTGGTGTCTCCGTTGCCGGAAAACCTGGACCCGCGCTCCCCCGATTCGGGAGAACGTGCCATGCGACCTGGGAGCGCCTTTACCATGCGGTTCAAGCGCCCGTCGCGATAGCGGACGTCTTTTTTTTTGTGTCGGCGAGGGTTAGGATGCTTGTTAACGGTCTACAATATTTATATACAGTACAGCACAATTAGCGCGAGGAGCGACATCTATTGCGTCTATGGTACACACCGTAGTCGTCGTTGTTCTACACATGTACAGAGGGGCAACGATGCCCCCACCGCACTCGCAAAAAGCCGACGACGTAAGAAGCTAGAAGTTGAGACTACCCTCCCCCTAATTCTCACGTCCGCACTGACGACGTGATGAGATACTGAACACACGTGAGGGTCGCCGCTCTCACCGTGGGGTCTTCGTGGCACGTCATCAAGCTCATGAGACTGACCTTCAGGCCCTCGATCGACAAAAGAGCGGCCTTCCCTGTCGTAGTCTCCCTCATCAGCATCGACAAGTCGTTGCATGCGACGGCAATCGCCTCGGCCGACTGCCGCTGCGACTCTATCAGCACGGTCGCCAGCTGGCGCACCACGCGCCGGTGGTCGTCCACGATCCGCTGCGCGTTCACCATCCAAAAGCGAGCATCCCTATGAATCGGTGACCAATGCAAGGCGTCCGCCTGCACCTCGGCAATGTAAGCGTCCAGCGTGCTCATGGACGCGCGCTCCTCCTGCAGCAGCTCCGCGAGCGCCCGGGCGTCATCCATGGCGTCCTCGTCCGCGCCGAGCAACGCGCCTCTCCCGGAGCCCATGCGGATGAGCCGGCGCAGCACGGCGGGCACTTCCGCGGCGAGCAAGTCGCGACGTATCCGCGTGTGCATGACCGTGGACCCCGAGGCCATGTTCCGCAAGCTCGACAGCGTGACGCGCGCAATCTTGAGGCGCTGCCCCGACGAGTGGTTCAGCAGCCGGCCCAGCACCACGAGCAGCCTCGACGACAGGACGTGCGACAAGACGAGCTCCATGACCTCCGGGCGCTGCGCAAACGTGAGCATCCAGATCGCAAACACGGCGTGGTACGATGCCGTGACCGACTGCGCGACGCGCCCCTCCGCGCCGGCCACAATCTCGCCGATGGCGGTGTGCCCCTTCCGCGGGTGGGTCAGCAGCGTGGACGCGAGCGTGGAGACGCCGTCCTTTTCGCAGAAAGCGTCGCGCGCAAAATCGCGTCGCAGCAGGCTGGACAGCGACTGCAGGGCCACGGGCGACGCCGTGAGGACGATCTCCGTGATCAGGGACCGGATGAGGAGGCGCGTCTGCTCGTTGGCCTGCGCGCACACCTCGGGCGACACGTCGTCGTCCACGCCGTCATCAAAGGACGGGCAGCCGAGCAGAATGGCCAAGCAAGCCGCGGCACCGCCGGACAGCTCCTTGTCGGAGACGCGATCGACGGCGATGCTGACGAGCGGGGCGAGGAACGGCGAAGCGTCTCTGCGGCGGTCGCGGGCGGCGGCGGCGCGGGCCTCCTCGAGGTGCATGCTGGCGAGCCCGCGCACGGCGGCGGTGAGGAGCGGGGGGTCCCGCGCGGCGGTGTGCAAGACGTGGCGCAGCATGTTGACGGCGCGGAGCATCTGCTGCCTGCCGGGCATGGCGCCGGCCGCGCAGACGAGGGCGTGGGCGATGTGGGCGACGCTCGCGCGGAGGTGCTCGGCGGCCTGGGGTGTGG